GATTTCCAATTTGATGCTTCCATAGCGGTGTCGGATCGTTTCAATTTATATAAAAATCTGATGCCTTTTGATAGAAGATGTTACTATGAAATCCTATATCAAATGCTTCCACTTTGGTGTTGGACTTTTGACAACAAAGGGCAACTCGGTCAGCCCCTCAACAACTATGGCAAACACCAAATTTCACAAAATGTCAAGGGCCAAATCACAAGAACTCCACAAATTTTCACTTGAGAGAAAGAAATACCCTGATCCAAAAAGCTCACAAATTTTTGTCCAAGACAAAAAGATTTCCCGTGCTAAGTTTTCCGTACGTCCAAGTTGATGCGACACAACTAAAAGATGCTGCGGACAAATTGGCAAAAGGCAAAGGGAAAATTTCAAATAACGATCCGAAGTGCCTTCATTTTCTCAAATAAGAACCTGAAGTGGAGTTTGTGTTAAATAAGGACCTGAAGTGGCATGACAGTCTCAAATAAAGACCTGAAGTAGTCATGGCAGTCTCAAATAAAGGGCATGACCTCTCCGGTAGCTGGCTGGCGAAATATTCCGGCCACCCAAGGGTATTTTTATCCAAAAATAATTTTAAATTTAAATTATTTTTTTCTTTTTCTTCTTCTTTCATTTTTCCTTCTTTTTCCTTTCTTTTTTTTTTTTTTCCTTTTTCTAGTTTTGTTTTTGTTCTTTGCCGGTGGCCGGTCGTTAGTGGCCCAAGAAGGGTAAGGCGAGGGTGGCCCCCGCCCGATCTGGTGAGGGCCACCTTCGCCCTGGGCGAGGCCGCCCTCACCGGCCATGGGCGAGGTCGGTCCTCGCCAGCTGCCGGCGAGGCGACCCTTGCCCTGGGCGAGGCCGCCCTCGAATGCCACAGGCGAGGGCTGGACTCGCGTGGGCGAAGGGTCTCGCCGGCCACCCTTCACCCAGGCGAGGCCGGCCCTTGCCTTTGGCTTTCAAGGGTGGCCCTCGCCAAATCAGGCCGGGGCGACCCTCGCCTAGCCCTTCTCGGGCTTTGCCGGTGGCCGACCGGCAACCAGAATCGGCCACCGGTGAAGAACAAAGAGAAAATCATACAAAGAAAAAAGGAAAAAGGAAAGAAATTAAAAAAAAAAGGTTAAAATACGAAAATACCCTTATCATCTGGAAAATCATGCCCTTTTTTGAAATAAACATAGCCACTTCATATCTTTATTTGAAACACAATCCACTTCAGACCCTTATTTGAGAAAATGAGGTCACTTTAAGCCCTTATTTGATATAGGGTCAACTTTAGGTCTTTATTTGAGAAAATGAGAGCACTTCAGACCTTTATTTAGAATTTTCCCAAAGGCAAATGGCGCCATTTGTTTAAAACGCAGTCGTTTCCTATTTGTCTTAATTGGGACTAATCTACTTCACATACGTGTCAAAGAGTTACCGCAGTGCTTTTCTCAATTTCTATAAAGCGTCACTATTAGTGTTGTATAATCTCGCTTGGACGGAAAAGTTAACAACGGGCATTTTTTGTCTCTCGAGTATTAGTCGGTCATTTTTGGTAATTTGAAAACCCGGGTTCCGTTTTTTGGAATCAGCCCAGATTTGCGATGCTTCCGATACACGATGTCATCGTCCACTTAAAACCAAATATCAGGTGAGAAATCTCATCAACTAAGAAGGAAAAAAAAAGAAGTATGCTATACTTTGCCGGTAGGACTTCGCCAAAGTGAACGGACAATGCTTTGTGTGATTAGGGAAACCTAGACATTTTTCAAAGCTTTAATTAGCCTTTGCACTTCAACATTGCTATTCCTTCGGTTCATTCTACGGGTTATCAAGTTCCAACTAACTAGGCTACAAGGAAAAGAAATACTACAAGGCCACGAAAACACAAGGAAAGTAAAGGGGAGCTTGGTGGGCTCGGCCCGAAGTGAAAGTCATGGGCCCTAGTCTATATAGCCCATCTGGGATGTAAAACTATATCTCTCCTCGCCATCCCCATAGTAGACGAATGGAGCATTTTTCCAGATAACCCCAATTGTGGACAAGTTGGTTGCCAGCAGACATGTTAGGATGATGGGTCATAGACAAATATTTGATAGCCTATGTTGTTATATTGATTAGTTATATTTAGTAAATGGATTTAGAATGATAAAACCCAAAATTATATTGGTGTTAAATGGGTTCGAAACTTACTTAGAACCAAAACACCTCCATGACTCTCTCTTTACTCTCTCCTGCCATCGTTTGATCTCGCGCTTGCTCACACCGTGCTCTCACCTCAGATTGCGTGTGAGTTTTTCTAGATTGAGTTAAATATGGAAGTGGTCAAGTAATATAAGTCGAATCGGGTGAGAGTTGGATTGGGTATGGGTCAATAAATTTTTATTACGTGGAAATGGATCAAAACGGATAAAATGGGTCAATTTGGATGTCAGATCATATTTAACCCGAATCACCCGTTTGACGGGTTTAGTTGCGAGCGACCATCGGCTCGTTAGCGGCCAAAATGTCGAACAAATGGTGAACACACACTAGTCGCGCGTGTCAATTTCACGCGCATTCTAAAGGCTTTCTAGTGCAAAAGAATCCCAATGCATTTGAATTGCGTGCAGTTGGGTTCCCCAAAAGGATAAATCTGAAGAGGGAAGGATGTTGTTGAAGATATTTAGAATTCTTTTAGAAATATTTAGGATATTTCTTTTGATTTTTTATATCTCTTTTAATTATGCATATTAGATTTGATTTCATTTGATTTTCTCTATCTAAGCCTATAAATAGGCTTTCTATGTACTTTTTTCAATATATTGAAATATATACAATTTCTCACATTTCTCTCTTTCGTAATTTTTATATTTAACTTGGTATCAGAGCCTCCTTTCTTAAGGCAACTTAGTGCACCCGAAGTACATCGCACCCGGTGCACCTCACGCACCCCAGAAATTTCCCCAATCCTGTTTTTCTGCTTTATCATTCTTAACGTAGAATAAATCCATCCCCATCATTGCTGTTCAACAATGTTCACTTAGTGCTTACAAGTCTCATATGAGGAAACACTTAATCGAGTCCACATAGTGTTTCGATGCTAATCGCACTGATCGCGTCACTTGTCGAGCCTTTTTCATGGAGGTAGCTGTCTTTCGATGCTAGCCGCACAGGCCGCATCCCAGTAACTTTTTTCCAAGCTAGCTGTATGGGCCGCTTGATGTTACGACACTAGCCGTATAGGCCGCATCGCTTAGTTACTATTTCACAAGCCAATCGTATCGGCCGCTTGCTATTTCCCCTTTGATTCTCGACCTTTCACACATCGTTTCGAGAAGCCAAAACCACCACCAAACTCGCTCAACTTTAGATAAGCCAGATGCTACCTCACTCACCGCCCCGTCCCAGATCCACCAAGCCCGATGCCATGCCGTGTCGTTGGAAAAACAAGTTTTCGTGGCATTGTTCGACAATGATTCAAACTCAAGGTGACTTAGCCACTATGAGTTTGAGGAGGGATGTTGAAGATATTTAGAAATCTTCTAGGAATATTTAAGATATTTCCTTTGATTTTTCATATCTTTTTTGATTATGCATATCAGATTTGATTTCATTTGATTTCTCTATCTAAACCCATAAATAGGCTCTCTATGTACTCTTTTCAATATATTGAAATATATACAATTTCTCACATTTCTCTTTTCCGTAATTCTTATATTTAAGTGACGTCATGGATTGATGCAAACGAGGCGAGATGCTTTCTCACGTGGATTTGTCAACAAGAGCACTTTCTTTTGGATTGAGGACACTTGTTAAACACCTAATTGCGAAAAGTTTGTCAGTTCCATTGTGCCGTATGCATTCAATGCATTGAGAATGGATACATTTCGTTAACAAGCCCATTCTCATAATCAAACATATCCTAATCAAATCTCGTATTTCTCGAACTAAAAACCCATCGAAATGTGCTCGAAACACACGCTAGAATTGCACATGTCCGCCGTCCGGCCAACACATCTTACCCACCAGGGGTGAGCAGTTTCAGGTTCCTTACAAGTTCCACATGGAATCTAGAACCTACCTTCTGGCACAAGTTCCCCATTTTTTGAAACCTAAAACATACCCGTCAGAACCTAGAACACAGGGTAGGTTCCAGGATCTAATAGGTTTTTTTATTTTATTTTATTGCATTTTTAGTTAAACAAAACAAAAATAAACGCAATAATACTGAACAAGTTTGTCATGCATCAAAGAGAATACAAAAAACTATTTTTCCTGGCATTACGGTTCAAATAAATGTAACTAAAATGAGAAGTCATTGCGTGAATCGATATTAGGGGTGAGCAGTTCTATGTTCCATATAGGCTCCACCAATGATAATAAGTTCCTCATTTTTTGGAACTTGGAACCTACCCTATCATAGGTTCAAGGGTCAGTTCCAGAGTCTACTCGGGTTCCATATGTATTATTAATTGAACAATTGCAATAAATCATTATCTTTAATAACCATCACTTACTGCTATGATTCACTAACCACAACTTATATTTAGATACGCGAAGAATATGAAACATTAACAAATCATAAAATGAAAACTCAGATTAGTGGTTCCAGATCATACACTCATCATCTAATGCCATGAAATACCGTAGGACCACGAGAAGACAGGTTTAGGTTCCAAGTTCCACCTACCTAGAACCTGGAACCTATCCGTCGAAACAGGCTCCCCAATTTTTGGAACCTAGAATCTATCCTACATATCTTGAAACCTGGAACCTATATGTTTCTATTGATCAGGTTCTCAAGTTCCAGGATAGAACCTGAAACTATGCTCACCCCCATAATACTCGCTGATCAATTGGGGGCCGCTTGGAATAAAGCCGTCCATTGTGGGGGTTATTGAAAACAAATATCAAGAATTGGGGCACTTTGAAATTTTAACCTTAATTTGGGGGCCGCTTTTGAGATTTTTTCCAAAGTCAATAAATGATCATTATTCGATAGAACAATCTTATTATTCTGGAAATTTGCTGTTAAGCCCTTTTAGTGGAATTCGAAAAAAAAAAAATGAAGCTATGATTAGTTTATCATTTTCGAAGTTCTCGATCGGTTCTCTCGCTTTGTTCCCGATTCCGATTCGCCTTGTCTCCGATCACTTTCCCAGAAAAAGAAAAATGCTGCCCCTTCAAAAGCTCGCGAGCCTCTCCGCTCCTCCTCCGCCGAGAACCGAAGCCCGCGGCACGACCCCAGCCCCCCCTCCGCCGCCGCCGCCGCGCTGCTGCTTCGGCGCTCCGGGAGCGATCTCCGCCGCCGCCGATCGCAGCCGGAGCTTGGCCGCGAAGGCGAATCGGGAGCTGAGCCTGAGCTCCGGGATGGCGACGAGGTTCGAGCACAGCAATGGGGTGCGGAAAGGGGCCGAGGCAGGTGAGTTTTAGTGGTGGCTTTTGGTTTCGGGTTATGGGTGGGGAGTCAACGAGTCGCGAGTCAGCCGCCGTGTTGGCACGGCGGCGGCGGCGATGGGGTTAGGCGGCTGGAGTTTCCTCCGCCCCGGACCCGGATCCGCTTGGGTCGGGTGATTCACGGATCGGGTCCGGATAAGTAAATACCCGGTTTCGGACATTCAAATATTTTTTCTTTCCATTGCTTTTTATTGATTTTATCCTTCTTCTTTTTTGGTCGGAGTTATTGATTTTGTCCTTTTGGAAAATTGATTTTGCAGTCTGCACCTCGCAAAAAATTGGCTATTGTAATTTTTTTTTAAAATATATATAGAAATATGAATTGAAACGAGTTAAATTTGATCAAACAAAAGGAATTCCCCTTTCCAAATAACTAGAATTGGACCCGATTCAAAGGATGTTAACTTATAAATGGAATATTTTGTTTTTATGAAATGTCGTTTTCTTTGGAAGCATTCGTTCCTAGAGTCCTAAATTCTCACGTCTACGCAAACCACTCGAAGCAAACCAAGCCAAGTCCTAAGCAAAATGTTTAGGGTTAATACCACGAAAAATCCTAAACTGGTATATCTGTGATAATTTTATTCTAAACAAATTTTTTGACCACCGAAAACCTCAAACTGGTACACCTGTGATAATTTTATCCTGCGTTAGTTTCCGTTAAATTTTACTGTTAAATTGCTTTGTTAAATGACAACCGATAGTTGACGGATATGCCAGTTTTGGATTTTACCCTCCATTTATCACAGGTGTACTAGTTTGTGATTTTTTTTTTTGCATTAATCCAATTTAACCGAAATTAATGAAGGGTAAATTTGTCACAAATGTACCAGTTTGGAGTTTTTTGTGGTCAAAAAATTAGTTCGTAGTAAAATTGTCACAGGTGTATCAGTTTGGGATTTTTCGTGGTAAAAAAATTAGTTTGGGGTAAATCTGTCACAAGTGTAGATGTACTAATTTGAAATTTTTCGTGGTATTAACCCAATATTTTAAATGAGATTGCAAGAAAAGGCAATTTGATCTTTTATTGATCTTTGAAATTTTCCCCGTATAAATATTGACTAAAGGAGAAGCAAAAACGAAAACCATCTCTCTTATCGCTTAAAAAAATAAACGAACGAACGATATTTTTCGTCCTTGAAAATGTTCAGATATAAATTACTGTCGATAATAAAAATATTTTTCATCGATTAATTATTTTGAGCGATACAAGTAATTAGTTTTAATTCGATAAAAAAGAAGTAATTAGTTTTTTAAAAAATATTTTTTCCAAATTATCTCTTTGTTTTTTACACGAAATGAATGAACTGGGGGGCAATTTTATGTCTCGTCGTTGTGACTTTTTGGACGGCACGAAAGTTGGGCATGTCGGCCATTGATGTTCTTCGGGGTGATGAATTTTCTGGCGAACTTTTTCTTAGTTTTTAGTCTTTGTCGAGCAACATAGTCCCGTCATTCGACGACAGAGCAACACCCTCTCTCTCTCTCTCTCGCTCTCTCTGCGTGTCGCTGACAACCTAATTTCTCTTCCGGCTGCTTCTCCGTGTCTACTTCGAACCAGTGCGAGCTCAACACATGGATTCCGAAGGCTCTCAGGACCCTCGTCTCGCCAAGATCGCCTCTTCCATCCGCGTCATCCCAGATTTCCCCAAGCCAGGTTACACTCTTAATGTGCAAAAGACTTTTTAGATTCCGTGACGGGCCGCGTTTTGTTGCAAATGGGTGGTCTTTGATCTCCCCCTTTATTGGGTTCTTGGTTTGGTTTGACGTTGGCCCTTTTCTTTTCTTTTCTTTTTTTGGGTTCATGCTGTTGTGGTTGATGTCTCGAGAAGGCCACTTGCCTTTTCGCCTGGAAAAAATGGTGAATTTGAGCGAATGCATTTGAGGGTGTCTGAGCATATACATAGTTGCGATAATCGGGTTCCTTTCTGGCAGGGATTATGTTTCAGGACATAACGACTTTGCTTCTTAATACTGAGGCGTTTAAGGACACTGTTGATCTGTGTGTTGAGAGGTACAGAGAGAAGAACATCTCCGTTGTTGCAGGTAATTCTGGTTATGTTTGTACTCTTTTGCCATTGGTCTCTTTCTAGTCAAGACTCAAATGTATACAACTGCTAAGCAGCTAAAGAGAGGGCGACGAATCTATGTTGGTTTCACATGTTAAGTATGTAAAGGACGGCCTCAGGGTTCATCTTCTGCTACAGATACACATCGTACTGCCTGCGACGCTGTGACATTTCACTTCTCCGTCTAGTAAAACATTTTCAATAATATCCAGAGGATCGCTGTATACCGGTCTAGGGGCTTTTGGACAGTCAGAATTGCCATCTATGAGAAAATTTATGCTCAGTTGCCTCATCTTAACATATAACTAAAGATCGGTTCAGTTGCTGTGCAAAGTCAATAGTAGCCTCAGTCATAAAAATCCGTTAGTGTATTGTCCAGTGAGCACATCCAATAGCAACATTGAATGGAAATTCTTTAAGGGATCTACTGATTTACCATTTTGCATCTCAAATTTATATGTACTTATGTGCTCAAACTTTCGACTAGCTTTTGCCAATTCACGCATTGGCATCTAGATAGACTGTAGAAATATTAAAGTAGAACCCAGAAACAGATTTATGATAATTTTGAGTTATTTGTACTATTGTGAGATGATCACAGCATTGCTTGATGAGGCGATAATATGAATGAGATTCTTGTCTTTTTCTTGTGTTACCAATTCTTCAATAGCTGCTATCACTTCTTGATTGAAAGTAGAAGAAGGGCATGTACTCATTGGCGGAATTGCTAGTTAATAGAAAGATGCATGAGAAAGTTGTCAATTTAACTCTTTGCCTCTACCGAAGCTGGAGTGCATCAAAAGAAGGCTTCTCCTTTGGCCAATAAAATGGGCTATGTCCATTAATGCTTGTACCTTCGAGTTTCTTTATGTTCCATAAAAGCTAAAATTAAAGGAAAAGGAGGATGCAGCACTCTACATTTGTGGGCTAATCATGGAGATTAGGTGATGTTTATCCAAAAAAAAACGATACGGAGATTAGTTAGTTGCATAAGCATAAATCGGATCCATGCGTCTCTATATTTGTGTGGAGTAAGAAATTAATGGAAGGTGGACCAGCTGAATAAATCTGGTATTTTTCTGATAGCTTAAAACTTTCAGAGTGGTTGGCCATGCGCTCTTTAACATTTTTCGGAGTGGTTGGCTATGCGCTCTTTAACATTTTTCCAGAAGCAGATCAGCTTGAATATTCACTTCCTTGCGCTCCTGGAGTATAATTTCCTTGTTTCAATGTCATGGATTTAACTGTTCTCTCACTTGTGCCAAGGATGGTTTACATGTCTTGAGCTTTCTCAAATTCCATCAGTCATGTTAAAGTTGTATTAAGATTTAACACAAATTGAGTTGTTGTAGAATAGTTTAGGATTTAGAGTAATTAACTACTATGTGCTGGTTAATGATGTCTACAGATAATATGCTCGTATTTTTATTATATAATGAATGACATGCTGCAGGTATTGAAGCAAGAGGATTTATTTTTGGCCCTCCCATTGCATTGGCTATTGGTGCAAAATTTGTCCCAATGAGAAAACCCAACAAATTACCTGGTACATTTCGTCAACTGAACTGCTTTCACAGATGAATGGCATATGCTGCCAGTAGTTGGTAGTTGACAATTGCTCTTTATTTGATGGAGGAACATCGCTCATGATTGGCCAACTTACAGCATAGTCATCTTCCATGGAACGTTTTCAGTTTATCAAGAAGATTGTGAGATTATTTAGTCTCTCATTATGGATTCAGTAATTAGAGAACTGTTAAATGCAAATATGAATTTCGTTGCTATGAGAACTGCATGTATCAGTGAATCGTTTGACCTGATGACTGGTGAGTGGTACGGATATCTTCTACATTAATATTCTCTAGTTGTTGCCAGTTTTTCTATTGAAAACATAATATCAGTTTCATGTAGGGCAGTGTACAACGACTGTTATAGAAGCTGCTTCTTCCGGTGAAGAAGGGAAACCAATCATATAGTTACACGTAGATGGCTCAATGCTGTATATGAGGCTTTTCTCCTTATGATATTAAAATCCTCATTGCCCTTGTAAGCTTCAAGTGTCATTGTGATGCACGTTAAACTGTCCCTTGAAGCTACTTGATGCATATGCCTCAACAATGCTGGCATCATAGTTCGTCTGCTGCCTTGTTGCCTTCTGCTAGGATAATGTTTAGTCATACTGCAACATAAAGATGTACCTATCTGGGACCATTACATTGTGTACTACTGCATACTGTCTTTTATGTCTAACATTGATCCCATTGTTTGTTCCTTTTGGAATTTATCATCAAATGGGGGATTCCCTTATGGTACCTTGCTTTTGATAACTTACAGGGGAAGTCATCTCAGAGGAGTATTCGTTGGAATATGGAACAGACACAATGGAGATGCATGTAGGAGCTGTGCAACCAGGGGACCGTGCCTTGATAGTAGATGACCTTATAGCCACGGGTGGAACATTGTGTGCAGCAATCAAGCTTCTTGGTATTATACTTTGGTTTTATTCTTCTTTAATCTACATGGAGATGATATTTGCTGGAACTTTGTTATCTTTGTCCGATTTAGTCAAATAGAAAGTGGGTCTTTACTCCAATTATTGTATCACTTGCATGAGAAGTGGTACATTTTTTATTGGCCAGCCAATCAGTATGAAGTCTGATGTGTGCCCTGCAAAGGAGTTTGAAGGAATGTAAGAGGGGCTTAATAATAGCATTCACTTAAAAGAATGAACTGATCTCTGCACCAGTATATGTTCATTGTTTTTTCTGTTGATCTTGGCTCTTGGGTGACTATCTAGCGCATGCTCTCGCATGCACATGAACACATGCACACTATTTTCTGCACTATTACCCTCTTGAATATCTAGTCTTGGAGCGGAGAATAGAAGTGGCTTACTTTTTCTTGTATCTTTACGTATCCTTCTGCACATTTGCAACTGTTTCCTCTCTTCAGAGAGTCTGTGCACTCATCCTGGGAGGTTTTCTTGCAGAGCGTGTTGGGGCGACCGTGGTTGAATGTGCATGCATCATTGAATTACCGGAGCTAAAGGTATGCACAATCCCTGGCAGAATGTCTTAAAAAAATGCCAATCATTCTTAGCTTAGTGCAATGGAGCTCATTGCTGCAACTGAATGAAGAGAGATTGTGGATTAGAAGTTTAGGTCCTGAGAAGAAAGGTATCTCAGAGAGAGTCGAACAATCTTTCATCTCTATGTTTTGGAGTTTGGCGAACTATATTAGATTTGTCGTAATAGGGTGCAGTTTCGTTTGTACACATAATAGAAGGATACAGTTAGTAGGTTATTGGGTAAAAAAAAAATAGAAAGATACTGTTGATCAATATCTAATAATTGATGATATCAAGAAGTTTGCAAGAACATTTAGGCCTTTGAAATAGGAAAGAAGTACTGCAACCAACAAAGACGTTGTGGTTTGAGAACTTATCAATCTATGGAGGAGGTTTTTCCTGTCCTTTCGAGCATTCTGTATCTTCAGGGAAAAGAAGCCGCTTAGAAATATATTCCTTAAGCTTGATGTATTGATAGGTCATATATCTAAGTAAATTACCCAAACAAAATGTTCCTCTTTGGCTGTATGCTTTTCTAATTATGGAAAAAACAACCAAGGAAATAATGTCAGGGGCAAAGATGAAGGACCAAAAGAGTATCCGTGAGTCACAAGTAAGTGAACACTAAGGAATTGCTGGAAAGTCGCATGTGTGCTTCATGGCAAAGATGAGAGCAATAGTGAATAAATGTACTCATCTCATAGGGATTGTTTTCTGTCCAAATGTGGATAGAACCAATTTCTCGGAAGATAACATTAATTCCTTGTGACTTCTACATATTTTGCCTGTTCTCCATACACTAAGCATTGTTTTTAGAATACTTTCTGATTTATCATAGCCCAATCTTTGTCAAATGAAGAACTAGTTTTCCAAAAAAAATAAAAACACCTGCAATCTAATTTTGAACCTCACTTTAGATGATTCATAACACATGACTAGGGTCAAAGTTTCTTGTTCCTATTATTTTTCATTTTATTTTTCTTCTATTTTTGCTTCAGGGTCGAGATCGGTTGGGTGACAAGCCACTATTTGTTCTGGTAAAGTCGGATATTTAGAACGTGATGGCAGTGAAGCACCAACTTATATTCAGATCAGCGAACCATTCCCTTGAGCTGGAGATTATTAAAGATCGCTAGATCCAGTGGATGTTTCGCCAGTAATAAAAATTTTATTCTACCTTTCGGCGAGGAGGTATGATTTGGCTAGTTTTCTTTTCTTTTCTGTTCTTGCGATTGTTGTTTCCCGCTTGCTTTCTCCCATGAGAACTTGTGGGGAGCTCAAGGTTGGAGGAACCTGGGACATGCACAAGAGTCCCGAGGAAGATGACCATAATTCATGTCTGATTATGTTGTGTAAACTCGCCTTTCGATTTAAACAGCTCTGCTCTGCTTGTGATTGAATTATCATGTGGACATGAAGATGCGAGCTTCTTCCTTTTATATGACTGTTTAAATGATATTTAATTTGATCATGATCTCATCTTTCTGCTAAGATGAGAACAATTCATCATATTTTGCATGTTGTATTACACAGCTAGCAAATCGGTGAACCAGCCGAATGTTGTGAGATTGCAATTTGTCTGCGTCCTCTCGAAATGCCCGATTTACTGCGTGTCTTAAACTTTACGTAGAGTGGCAGTTTATTGTACTAAAAACTTTTAGAACTTCTCATCGAGCTGCCGGCTTGAATGCTTAGATGTAGCGGAAAACGGAAACGATTCACTGTTTTCATCTTTTCATGACTGCTGCCAATGCGCGACGAAAGTTGATAAAGAGAAAATAGTGTGAGCAAATTGAATGATTGATTAATGCTATAATTTGATAGTTCAAGATGATAAACCCTCGGTGCAGTTCTCAAATGTTGCCATGAAACGTAGTCTCCCTATTCTCTTAAAGAATTAGAGATCATCTAAACCGTCTTCTGTGTTTGATTATTCCATTTGATGTTGCTAGGAAAGGAACTTCCAATTTTTGGATGCATTAAAAGTAAACCTGTCATTCGGGTGGATTGGGTTGGGATTGGATTAGATCCAATCCAAATTGATCTATTTAACCTATATTGATCCGTATTTATACTATGCAATTTTAGCATTCCGTAGCCGACCCAATTTTAATATAACCTATGTTCATTTGACGATGAACCTTGCGAAGTCCCAATGGACACATCTTTTGGTCCAAACCTTCCGAATTACTAATGGCCAAAATTTTTGGTCAAAACCTTTCGAATTCCCAATAGACAACTTATGATCTGAATCTTGCAAATTACTAATGGACATAATGACCCAAACTTTTGGTCCCCCGCCCCCCCCTAGATTAGTCTCATTGCTTATTTTTTTCGAGTCCCCAAACTTATATTTTATTTTTCCATTTTCCTTTCAATTAACATGAATTACATATGGGTATAACCTAGACCCATTAAAACCCATATCTGATTAGGTTTTGATAATCTAACTTCATAACAACCCATTCTTTAATTTCTTAACTAATCCATATACGACATGATTCACTAAATATAAGTTAAAAAGTGGGTTTTTGATCCATTTCGACACCTTCAATTTAAACGTCAATTTCATATATGTCTTACAAAATAAAAGGTCATTTTTCACCCGAAACTTATGATAAAAGTGGGCGGCTATGGTATGGAGACAAAGTCTCTACCTTGACACGATCAAGAATATCGTGGGACATGAGTCATGAGTTTTTTAAAGCGTTATTATATGATGCCTTTATCACTAATCGATGACTATGTTGATCTGACTTTCACTTAGCCCTAGGGTCTTTATCAACTAATTATTCTAGACTTAGTCAAATTCCCATTCCCAATACCAACTCAAGATTCAAAAATTATAATTTCACTTCACAGCCAATGGGGAAAGACAAACAGTAGGGTGTGGCTAACATGATTTTGCCTCAATAATATATGCATCATTGACATCTATAGAATATAAGGCGAAGGGTTTTTTAAATTTTAAATTTGACATTAATTCTCTCTTATTTTTAATTTGCAATCATGTATTCTTTAAGAAATTTATATTAGGAAGTTCACGAGGCATTTCTAACTTCATTTATGTGTTGCGTCTCAATCGCTCGCTTGAGGTCACATAACTTTGGATGGATGTTACGATTTCGCCACTGATTTTCTGGAATATAAATTCGGTTATGTCTGGTGTGATCTAACATAAAGATGGACTCGATTTATCAATCTTGATGATAAAATATTCTCGATGATTATATAAGCTCCAAGGTATTTTGTCATTTAGATTAGTCATCAAGACGAACTTAAAATGATGCAGCATCGTTTGCTCCAAAGAGAATAAAACCATGTTTCCGAACTCATATTTCCTATTTAAAACTCGAGAAATCTCAAGGTGTTTCCGAAGCATGACGACTTCATCCACCGACATGTTCGTGACGGTGGGCATTGCCCGGTGCTATAGGTATCTTTACTTTCTTAAAGAAATTTGTAAGGTGATTCGAATGTAGAGCTTGGTGTGAATGGGAAATAACCGAAGTTCCAATATATGTCTTTCTTTTCATCTTATTTTATTTTATTATGTTTGACGCCCAAAGTTGCTATATAATACGGATATATGTTTTTATTTCTTTCTATCTTTTTGGGAGATCAAACACATGCTCTATTTAATAATAATTGAGGGCCAACTTGTCGAATCACATCCCCATAAATATATATATATATATACATGTTCAAATGTGCGACATTCAGCTATGACCTAATAAATTTTGGTAGGCGCGACTGAATTTATCTATCCTTAGGTAGATGCAAATGACTTAGTTATAAACTCCTCGATTTGCTTTTGGTACATATACTATAATTCATTCACGCGCATATAACCCCTTTCTAACGCAATTTAAGCAATTACTTTTGTCAACTATTAGGACATGACAACGAAAGAATTCTTAGAAAAGTTGATTGAGAAAGAACTTTTTTTTTGGGTCGAAATTGAGAAAGAACTTAGAACGGAGAGAAATAACCAAGTTGATTGGTTCTTTAAATGAAAATTAAATTTTACCAATTTTTTAACCGTTTAAGCGCACTTGTTATTTTGGTTCAAGTTTCGATAATAGATTAAATGAAGCCCGACCAAATTCAACTCTACAGATGGATAAATGAATCAAAGGATGATTGATCATCTGAGGATTTTGCATACATGTTATGATAGGTGTTTGCACCAAAAAATGATCAATTTTTTGTTTTTATCGACATATAATAAACTTAGTCGATGAGAGTAGAGTTTGGTCATTTATGAACATAATTATCGACATATTGATGAATCAACAACTTGATAAATCGACAGCTTGAAAGAATCGACAAAAAGTAGAGTCCACAATCTTGGATGCAACCGTCAAAGAAATAATCTTGAACGTAGTGGGGTCGAAAAAACTGTTAAGGGAGTGAAGTCAATGTAATTGTTTGTAACTGTTTGTAACTTCTCTTTGTAACCTCCATTTGTAATTTCCTTTTGTAAGCTCAGTTGATAACCGTCCATTGTAGGCTATAAAAAGCCACATCGTACTCTTCGGAGGACCCCCCGCACAAATCAAACAAATTTACTATCTTTTTAGTATTTTACTTTCCTGCACTACACTTTATTTTCCTAGTTGTAGCTTTTCGATTCGTGTTCTCAATTAAATTACGGCGTGTAATTTCTATCCCGAGTGCTGTGTCGTCGATTGAATTTCGACATAGCACCTTTGTTTTCTCAAGTTGTGCTGTCAATTAGATTCCGTCATAGTTTGTTTACACCAGATTATCGTATCAAGTCTGTATCTTTCGGGCCTTATCGTCGATTAAATTCTGGCACAATTTGTGTTTGTACAGTCTTGTTTTAATCAAAACCATTGGTTCCTTTTGCTTGTGATATTTATTGTTAGGAGTTGGTGCAAAACCCTAGTTCCTTTTAATTACAAGCTAAAGAACGACTTTCGGTGAAAGATATTTCATTGCAAGAGAAATTCCGGCGAAACATCTTTTTAGCACGTCCGGTAGGACCAGTATGGCTGATCTGAGGAGATACAATGGTGCGTAGGAATCAACTCGATCTTGACAATGCTGGCAATAATAATTTGCCACCGCAACTTGGTAATGACAAGATAAGACGCTCTGAGTTATCGACTGCTCAGCCGATATCAGCACAAGAACAAGGTGGAGATGTTGACATCCCAAGACAACTTACCGATGAACAAAGAAGCTAGTTGGAGCCAAATCCTATGATGTTGGCCACCATGAGGAGGTTTCTTGACGAACACTTGTTCGCTCGTTTTACGACGAGGAATATCCTTCACCGAAACTTCGATTTTCGGTTTTTATTAAGGTAGGTTCTGTGACTTGATTACTAGGAGAGTTGTGGTGAAAAATAAAGTGTAACACAGGATTGTATGGAACAGATAGAAACCGAATGGACTGGAAATGGGTCTGAGGTCAACAAAGTTCTGAGCTACGTTACAATACTCTTATGAAAGCTGTAAAGGACTTGAAAGTTAAACAAAGCTGTAGGAAGTTGAAAATGCAGGAAGTAAAAGTACAAAGGAGACTAAAATGCAGATAAGCTTGAGTGTTTTTTCATTATTGTTGGTGGTGCCCTTTCTTCTTTCTTTTGAATATTTGTATCTGCTCATATCCTGCAACTGCTTGTCGGTTACTTCTATGTTTTCAAACTTTCAATTTTGGTGCTTCTAATAACTGCCTTTTCTAACCACGTTTTTCTAGTTTTATTGTCCGCCAAAACTTGATCTCAACCGCTGGGACGACTTCAAATTTGGACAAGTAACTCCCCACAATATGCTCGTCCTCACTATTTCCGCTTTTTGCTCATAACTTCCTGTTATTGTGATTTTCGTGGCTGGGCTGTGATTCATCTTTACCGATTCTCTATAATTTCGGTATATTCCCGAAGTGTAAACTTCCTGAATTTCGGAAAGAGTCAACGTCCCGAGGCATAAATGTTCCAACGCCCTTATATTCCCGAACTATGACTTTCCATGTTTCGGTAAACATACCGATATTCATCAACTACCGAATTCGGGATATGATGCCATTCACGCTTGCTTCCCAGCATGTTTCCGAATCTTATCCAAACGTATTTCGGAAGACGGTTGATTTCCATTATACATCAGATTCGGCATTGAAGCCGACTCAGCGTCTATGCCGATTCTTATTTAGGTGTCAACAGATGCCCCCTTTTAAAAGGATTAAAAGAACTTTTAATTCTTTTAAATGCCAGAAAAAAGGTACTTACGTTTTACTCTTGCTGTCGCTTCGTCACATCGCTTCGCGCGCTTGCCCTTTCATCTTCAAAACATTTCTTCTAAAAATCGTTCCTTTTTTCGTTCCTTTGCATTCTCAGCTTCTCGATTCTCTGCAACTTTTCGACTCTCTACACTCTCTCTCGATATTCGTCTGAACCTAATGGCTTCCAAAGCTTCCAAGGATCAAACTTTTTCTCTTTCCGCATCAGATGCCCTTGATCGATACTATTTATTCCGAGATTCCG